GGCGTTAACTCGCTGCACCTCCCCCCTTGAACTTGAGTCCACTGCGAACGCGCTCAAGCTCTCCCTCTCGGGTCTGGTCGACTGCGGAGCTACTTCGGACTTTATCGACACAGAATATGTCAACCGGAATAATGTGCCAGTCCGAAATCTCTCAGTACCCATCCCGGTCTACAACGTCGACGGCACCCCCAATGATGCTGGGTCTATTCGCCAAATCGCGGACCTCGTTCTACGGTACAACGGACACTCCGAACGCGTTCAGCTGGCTGTAACCCACCTTGGGAAACAGGACCTGATACTCGGATACTCCTGGCTCAAAAAGCATAACCCCGAGATCAACTGGGAAACAAAGGAGGTGAAAATGAGTCGTTGCCCCCTGCAGCTGCTCTACCTGCCGTGACGAAGAGCGGACCGAACGCGCTGAGGTTCGGCGGCTCCGACTCCTTAAATCACGACTACTTGGGGCGCCTTCCCCACTGTTTGCGCTATCGATATCGCTGGCCCAGATGATGCTGACGACGAGCTCGGAGCTGCTTCGGACCCTCCGGAGCCCTCACCAGATCTCGACGGCGACGAGCATCTTGAAGACGGCGACCGCATCTTCTACACCTCCTTTTGCCCAGTTGAGGAGATCCGCGGCGGCAGTACAGTGTCCCAACGCCTTGCAGAGGCCTTCGCCCGTAACTCGGCCCCTCCGCCTCGGAGATCCCGGACTGGGCCAAGGAGTTCCAAGACGTCTTCGACAAGGAGTCCTTTGACACGTTACCAGAACGAAGGGCTTGGGACCACGCTATCGAACTCGTCCCCGACGCGAAGCCCGCTAACTGCAAGGTGTATCCGATCTCCCCCTCGAACAGCGCGAACTTGACGAGTTCATCGAGGAAGGACTTGCCACAGGCCGTATTCGCCCTTCGAAATCTCCGATGGCCTCCCCGTCTTCTTCGTTAAGAAAAAGGACGGAGGGCTTCGGTTTGTCCAGGACTACCGCGCCCTCAACGCAATGACGATTAAGAACCGGTACCCCCTTCCGTTGATTAACGACCTTATCAACAGGCTCAAGGGCGCTCGTTACTTCACCAAACTCGGCGTTCGCTGGGGTTTTAATAACGTCCGGATTAAAGAAGGAGACGAGTGGAAGGCGGCCTTTCGGACTAACCGAGGGTTGTTCGAACCTTTGGTGATGTATTTCGGCCTGACAAACTCCCCTGACGTTCCAAACGATGATGAATGACATTTTCCAGGATCTCATTCTTTCAGGCGACGTTATGATCTACCTCGACGACATCCTTATCGCACATTCGGACCTCCGCAAGCACCGCGAGATCGTCCGGGAGGTCCTTCGGCGGCTCCGAATGCACAAGTTGTACCTTCGCAAGGAAAAGTGCGACTTGAGAAATCGTCAATCGAGTACTTGGGGGTCATTATCTCGCACAACCATGTCGAAATGGACCCCGTTAAGGTCGCCGGAGTCTCCGCATGGCCTCCGCCCGAAAACAAGAAGGACGTTCAGCAGTTCCTGGGGTTTGCTAATTTCTACCGCAGGTTCATTCGGGATTTCTGCGGGCCTGGCGCAACCTCTCTTTGCGCTCACCAAGAAAGACCAGAAATGGACCTGGGGAGACGCCTAAGCCGCCGCCTTTCAAGCCATCAAGGACGCGGTCGTATCAGAACCTGTCTTAGCGATCCCGGACGACTCTCGGCCTTTCCGACTTGAAGCAGACAGCTCAGATTATGCGACGGGGGCGGTTCTTTCACAACAATCCGCCCCGGACGGGAAGTGGCACCCTGTAGCGTTCTATTCCAAAAGCTTAAATGATGTCCAGCGCAACTACGAGATTCACGACAAGGAGATGCTCGCGATCATCCGCGCACTCGAGGAGTATCGGCATTTCCTCGAGGGCGCCGCGCATCCGGTTGAGATCTGGACTGACCATAAGAACTTGGAATACTTCCGAAAGGCGCAACACCTTAATCGTCGGCAAGCCCGATGGTCGCTGTACCTTTCCAGGTTTGACTTTACGCTGCACCACGTCCCCAGGTCGCCAGATGGGCCGTCCCGATGCTCTCTCCCGCCCGGCCTGACCACGGTATCTCCGACGACAACTCGGATGTCACCCTCTTACGCCCCGAACTGTTCCACGTTCGCGCTTGAGGCCGTCACTGTCTCTGGGCCTGGCTCCGAACTTGTCCGCGACATCAAGGAAGCGCTATCCGGTGAGCCTGACCTAGAGGAACCCGTCGCACTTGCGGCTCCAGCTCATATAGCTGTATCTTTGCAAAAGATGAGGGCTGAGCTGCAAGGCTGTAATGCAAAAGATAAGGGCAAGTGCCCAAAGAAAAACTTATAAACAATAAAATAATTACTTATAGGCCCTCTGGCGGGTTTTGACTGATGGGATCAGTGCATTCAGATAATATTACTTAATGTGGAACGATTTTTGATTGCCATCACTAGATCTAATGACCAGGTGATGCCACATCAGTCTTACTTAATCTCTGAATTTATTTCCTTATTTCTGCCATATAAGTCCAAAGTATTACCATACGAGTATTCGGCCTGAAGAAAAGGTGATTTATATGACTATATCAATTTTTAGCTTAGTCATATCTTTCAATTCCATTGAGAAATTCAATAATTAAACCCTGTTTCACATCTTTTGCATTAGAGCCTTGCAGCTCAGCCCACATCTTTTGCAAAGAATGGGCTATATAGGGTGGCGGCTCGGCAACTCTTGAAGGTCCGAGGTCAAGCTCGGGGCCCCCGCTCATCGCGTTCGGATGAGTGGGCCGTCTCAGGCGACCTCCTGTACTTCCGCGGCAAGGTCGTAGTCCCCAAAGACAAAGACCTGAGGAGGCGCATTATAGAGCTCTGCCACGACACGCGTGTCGCCGGACATGCCGGGCGGTTCAAGACCCTGGAGTTGGTTTCGCGCAACTACTGGTGGCCACAGATGTCCCGCCATATCGGACGCTACGTCGCGACCTGCGACTTATGCTGTCGTCGAAGGCCCTCCAGGGCTTCCGCACGGGGAGCTACATCCAACCGAAGTCCCCCGAGCGCTGGCACACGGTCACTGTGGACTTCATCGTCGAGCTCCCCGAGGCCCATGGGTATGACGCGGTTATGGTAGTGGTTGACGCCCTCGGGAAACGCGCTCACTTCACCGAATGCCATACGACAATAGACGCGGGTCGGAGCTGCCCGCTTGTACTATCGGAACGTCTGGAGACACCACGGAACCCCCGAGAAGTACATTTCGGACCGTGGTTCGCAGTTCATCGCTGACTTCACGCGAACTCTGGCGCTTAATTGGCGTCAAGCCGGCTACCTCTACGGCTTACCACCCGCAGACCGACGGACAAACCGAACGCGTTAACCAGGAGCTCGAGCAGTACATCCGAATCTTCACCAACTACCAACAAGACGACTGGGACGAGCTTATCCCTGCTGCTGAGTTCGCCTATAACAACCACCGTTCACTCCTCCACTCAACAGGTACCCTTTATGACGGACACTGGCCGGCTCCCCCGAATGGGTTTCGAGCCGGGCACCCGCTCAGAGTTGGAGTCAGTGAACGAGTTTCGCGATCGGATAGCGAACGGCGTCTCCGAGGCGAAGGCCGCGCTCGTCAAAGCCAAAGACGAGTATAAACGGTACTACGATCGGAGACGATCGGACGCTCCGAATATTCAAGTTGGTGATAAGGTTTGGTTAGATGCCTCTGACATCAGAACAACTCGGCCCTCCGAGAAGTTCTCCCACAAGCGCCTCGGACCGTTCAAGGTGCTCGCAGAGGTTAGCAAAGGTGCCTACAAGCTCGACCTCCCCCCGTTACTCCAAGCTCCACCCCGTCTTCCCCGTTGTTAAACTCGAGCTCGCTCAGGACGACCCCCTTCAATGGACGACCCGGCTACGACGAACCGCCCCCGAACTAGAGGACGGAGTCCCCGAATGGGAAGTCGAGGAAATCTTGGATGCCAGGATAAGGTATAAGCGTCTTAACTACTTCGTCAGGTGGAAAGGCTACGATGCTTCGCACGACGACTCGTGGGTTCGGTTCGACCGTGTCTTCGCCAGACAAAATTGCGGACTTCTATCGGAGGTACCCAGGTAAACCACGGCACATCGCCTCAGCGACCTTCGACTCCTTGCCCTTCCGAACTATGCGTCGGGACGCCGCATTCAAAGGGGGGGTGATGTCAGGGGAACCCCGCCTGGCCTCCTTCGGACCCTCCGAACGCATCCGAGGCGCATCCGACCGGCGCCCTCGGACGCTCCGACCCACCCCGACCATCATCCACGGCCTCCTTCGCCCGCACAATCACCGATCCGTCAAGACCCTCCCAACGATCACCTTGGGACAGAGCCTGTGACGCCGCTCAGGCCTTCTGCGCTCTACGTCGGCAGTTACGGACGACCAGTATATAGTTGGCGCCCTAGCAGGCGGACCCTTAGAGTTTCTTCTCTTTGGATCCTCCCCTGCTAGGTCGGTCCCTCCGTGTATTTCCTGTAGTCTTATTCACGCTTTGGATCCTCCCCTGCTAGGCTTTCATCGGAGTCTCCAGGGTTGCCCTTACAACGTAACTGACTTGCGTGATTATCTTATTGTTGGTATTCAACTGGTTTGTAGAGTACATGAATTGAAAAAACCACTCGACGAGCAGTGTTGGTGGCCTCTCGCTGCTGGCGCGGCTTGACCCAATCAACGGCACGTAATGCTTCCTTTCTGGGAAAGCGTGGGAGGTGCGCGCACGGTGCGCGCGATCGCCTTCGCTTAGGGCATCTTAGCCGCTCACGATCACGGCCTGTCCACAGCTTACTAGCCGTAGATCAGAGGTAGGTGAGGTGACCTACTCCAATCGTCCTTGATAGAAAAACAGTTTGTCGCTGGCCCGAACGGATCATGACCTGATGCTGACGTGACCGAGGAAGACATTCCCACACTCTTCTGCTTTGCTCCTCTCACTCTCTTGACCCGCACGATCTTTGCTGGCGTTGGATGTCTGCTAGGGAACGACGGAATGGCCATGCGAAACTAGCTTCAGACAGCGTTGATACTGGCGTCCAACTATCTGAAGCTGCACCTGCACTACTCGACCTATCCACGATTCTCTCGATGGTCTTGGGCGGATGTTGCGTGTGAGTTATGAAAGGCACCACGCATTTCCCGCCTAAGCTCATTGGTAGAAATGTATGGGCATATGAGCAACTGCTAAACATGAATGCGCGAATAGGTGTGTCTACCCGCACCTGACTAGAAATAATGGTCATAACTTCTGTTCAGGTTCTGCCCTAACTTTTTCGCAAGTTGTTTTTATCACACTCCAAACCTTACCAAGGTTTCTTGTCTTTCACCCAACTTATCGATGGTTTCCTTCCGGTCTGAAGCCGCGTCAAGTGCCTATCTACCGCTGGGCGGTGCAGGTCGTTCTGCTCACTACGAGCGTTTTGCTCAATAATTGGGCCTTTGCTTATAAAGTTCCATTAACCATCCTCATCGTCTTTCGGTCTGCCGGTACGCACTGGTCTCCAGCTAGAAATATGTGTGAAGTTCAGGCTTGCAAGGGCTTCCCGTGTCCATGCTTTTTGGATTTATCGCCGGGAAGAGGTATTCGCCAACGCAAGTGGTGAGTTTCTGCTTTGATCTCCTGCACTTCTTTTCTCATTCACAAGAGTTATCGGTGCTCCTTGTTACAACTGGTGTAATACTAGTGACACTTGCTCGACCGTCTGCCAAGTCAGCTTCGTCTATCACCGAAGACCTGCAACAGTATACTGTCGGAATCTCGATGCTTACTGCGTCAATCGTCCTCACAGGCGTTGTTGGGCTCCTACAAGAGTGGACCTATACAACGTATGGGCCTTGTTGGCAGGAGGGCGTATTTTATACCGTGAGAAGACTGTCGTTTCCTTGTTACGTAGCTGAACCCAACCAGCACTTTCTGTCTCTGCCTGTCTTTGTCTTTCTCGTTGGAGATGTTGAGCAAGGCCTTCGCAGTCTCTCGGATGATACGGGGCGGGACACAAGTGCGCTTGGGTCATGGCTAATTCTCGGTTTAAATCTCTTCTCTCAACTCATTTGTGTATCTGGCGTCAACAGACTTTCGTCGGTTGGTCTCCGGTTTCGTGGACTAGTATGACTGATCTGACTGTCAACTAGGAAGTGTCGTCTGTTTCGACCAACATTGTGCTCACTACGCGGAAGGCAATCAGTCTGCTCTTCAGCGTATGGTGGTTTGGCAATGAGTGGAATGAGAAACTGGCGGCTGGAGCTAGTATGGTTTTCTTTGGAAGCCTGCTGTTCACAGCGGGAGGTTCCAAAAGGAAAAAGAGTAAGACTGATTAGATGGCTTTCACGGAGCAGAGATAGAATGTACCTAGATGTTGTTGGGTTAAGCAGGGTTCTGTGGGGCTGAAACGCTGAATAGACTGTCATAGGGTTGGACTCCTTCACCTGGATTGCATGGAAAACGTCCGATTTCGACAACTCACAGCACCCACGCTTGGCCGCGTCCTGCTCCGCGCCATCCCCCCACCACGAGCTCAAGGACGAAACTCGTGAACTCTTGTTTCATTCAGCAATGACCTCACAGAAAAATCGTTGGCCGTGGCAAGTTTTGATGTGACTGCGACGCTCACTTAAGTATCCCCACATCCCAACCTAGCAATGACGAGATCTTCTGCTGCTTCTTCTTCTTCTCGAGGATGTGCTGGCGTACTCTTTTGGGGGCTCTGATACTTTGCGTCTCTACGACGCTTGCTGATAGCTCAAGTCTTCAGAGTCAACTTTCTCTACCTGGCGTCACCTCATTCTTTCCTGGAGACCCGGGCTATGCTAATGCATCTCGGCCCTGTGAGTGCCATATCCAGGCCGTCTGTCCGCTTATTGTCTCTAAACGCAAAACGAATAGTCAACCTACGGTTCACGTTGGAGCCCATCGCAGTTGTCTATCCTGCATCCGTGAAAGAGGTATCGGAAATTGTCAAAATTGGCAAGGAGCACAACCTCCGTGTCTCTGCGCGGAGTGGTGGGGTGCGTATTATCTCTTTTCCCGAGCTCGGACTGATGGTACATTTAATGGCAGCACAGTTATATCGCCAATGGGCTCGGAGGAAGAAACGGCGCTCTGGTCATAGACATGTCCAATTTCAAGAAGATTTCTGTGAACTCGGCTGCAAAGACAGCGGTTATCGAGACTGGAAACAGGCTAGGTGACATTGCGCTTGCCTTGAATAACCATGGACTTGCGATGGTATACTCGCTCTCTATTCTTTAGTCCGAGGGAGTTTACTGACACTATCGACGTAGCCTCATGGAACCTGCCCATATGTGCGCATCAGTCGCATTTCCTGAGAATACGCTGAGGACTTCTAGGTTGGCATCGGTGGTCATTCATGTCAGTCACTGCTGGACCAATGAAATGTTTGCATTCCCAACCCTTGTAACAGCATACGGAGGCTTTGGCTTCTCTTCAAACATGTGGGGACTGACGCTTGACAATATCCTGTCTATCAGTTGCGTTTTTTTGGTCTAACTGCCAAAAGCGCCGTCAGCTGACCACAAAAATAGATCTCGTCCTTGCCAACGGCACCATAACCCAGGCTTCTCCTCGTCTCAATGCAGATCTCTTCTGGGTGAGCAATTTCTCCTTCCTTGGCGCGAACTAACGAGGCAAAGGCAATGCGTGGTGCAGGGCCCTCATTTGCCATCGCGACTTCGATTGAGTTCAAACTTTTCACGCCACCAGCTGCAGTGACAATTTTCAACTACAACTGGCAGCTCACAGCCACACAAGCCGCAAATGCGCTTGGCGCCTTCCAGACATTCATTGCGAAACATGACCCTCCTGCAGAGTTTGGCTCTGAAATCGTCGGTCCTTGTCGCATGCCGCCTGACTAGACAAATAACTGGCTCTAGGTCCTTACGCGGGGGCACGTTGAAGGAAATGTGACATTTGCTCTTGCTGGCGCATGGCATGCTGCCCCAGAGTTGTTAAACGCGACAGTTCAGCCTTTCCTTGACCGGATGCCGCCGTTGAACGACGTCAGTTTTTCTCAAGGGAACTGGCTCGCAGCACTTGAAAACCTCGGAGGAGGGAATCTCAACACAAGCGTAGCTCCTGATGGAACGGATACGTTCTTCGCAAAGTTTGCAACTGAATTACAAGTCGAGCACAGGACTAATCACACAACAGGTCACTCATGACACCAGAGGCATCCCCCATGAATGCGGCTGCCCTTGAAGCGTTCATGGAGACTGTTGCAACAGAGGGATTCACCACGAATGTGGTAAGCTTTCTGTCCCATCCGTTTCCCTCTCTTGATTTTGTACAGAGCTGGTTCTTCCAGGTAGGGGATGTGTTTTGACACAAGTGGACCCTTCAAAGTGCATTTCATCAGATTGAATTATTTGGAGGCGCAAACAGTGCGATCAATGCTGTGCCTTTGGACGCAACCGCGTTTGCCCATCGCAGTTCATTGTTCACCATCCAGTTCTACGCTTCGTCGATTGGAAATGTTCTGTTATTCCCGGACTTTGGGTTCACTTTCCTTGATCGTGAGTTGACCTATATCTCCGAGATGAAGCTTTGTAGCTTATTATCCAACGTAGACGTTGTCAATAACATCACAACACATAGCCCTCCTAATTGGGATTTCGGGTGCGTCGAAACGTATTAAAACTGACCAGCACTGAAAGTTGTTGTGGACAGAGCGTATACCAACTACATGGAAGACCAACTTCCTGACTGTGGGTCGCTAGTGACTTGTTTCAAGTTCTTTGTCTGATACCTTATTCTCCAGTCAAACGTCAATACTACGGCTCGCATTATCCGCGATTATTCGCACTCAAGAAGAAGCTTGACCCAACGGGTGTCTTCGATTTCCCTGTCGGAGTCGATGACTGAACGCTTCAGTTGTAGGTTAAATTATCCAAAAATGTACTAGTAATGTACTAGTACTTAATATCTGGGGTAAAAGAGACTCTGCATGGCCATGTTTTGCTGGACCGCCAACTGGAACTTGGCTGAGGCAACCATCAATCCAGCGGCGTCATTCCCCCCTCCACTATTGCCCGCTGGGAGGGGACGTATGGTTGCAGCGACGCCCTGGACTTCTCGGTGCATCTCATTGGGTAATGTGAATAACGAGCTGCCGTCGCCAAAAGCCATGAAATATTGACCCGTAGCGAAAGGATTCAATGCGACATAAGCGATTCCCTTTCTTTTCTTGTTCTCTTCCGCATTGTGGATGAGCGCGAAGACGTTGGGGTACAGATTTTGAAGTTGTGGCACACTGAAGGAAATATGTCCGTCTTCGAATAGCACGATCCAAGCTCCTTGGACGCCGAGTGCGACTGTGTGAGGACGACCGATTCGGATACGATTGAGAATAGTCGTCTCGAGCACGTCTGGAAGGTTTTGCCAACTGAGACCACTCTCGGTCGTAGAGAAGTAGCTGTGATTAGGGCCGAATGTTGTGCGAGCGGACTTGTTGGCAATAAAAGCCGCTAGTTTGGAGTAGTAAGAAGGTAGGTAGTCCGCTGCAATTCGAGATGAGCTATACTATTTTCGAGCGCGATATAGACTTACCCTCGTACATCTCTTGATTCGCTTTCGTAGTCCAATACATGGAGTAGACCCCTGGTTCTATTGCAAACGCGACATCGTGTGGTTGCTTACAGTGCAACGGGTTGTTGGTGTCTTCCAAGACACTCCGGAGAGGCTCTGGAAGCTTATGGTCACTCCTTCAATCGATTGAGAGACAGTCGTAGGATGCGAACGGAACGCACCAAGCCCAGAGTGTCGAGCTCTTGACGAAGAAAGCGCCGTTGGGCCCAAAGGAGAATTGGCAGTCCATTGAGATGCCAGACATGCTAGCAGGCCTTCAATTTTAATAGTGGTACCGCTCCGGCAGCAACAATCTTGGCCGGGGGGACTGAAGATGTCCCAGCACAACCATGCTACGTGTCAAACAGTTGTTTGCATCGCGCTCATGGGGAGGAGTTCCGCGACTAGTCCGTCTATATGTGGCATTTGGGCGTCTGAGTGTGTCTCGGCCGCGTTCAAAGTCCGTTGGAGGCAAATGCCAAAAAACCGTTGGCAGAGACACCATCATGACGATGACTAAGCCATGACTTCCGGTTCCGTCTTGATTCCGCTCATCGAGGACCTTCTGTCTTCTGTAGGCTCAGAATAGCCGCCCAGTTCATCTATCTTTGGTCTGACATTATGCCGCCACACGACATCAGCCAGGTACAGGCGTCCTAGCCCTTCATAAGCAAGCTCCTTTTCCTTTCTGTCCCTCCACAAATTCATGGACTGCCAGTTCGCTTTCGGACCCAACGGGGCATATTTCTGCAGGAGCGACAACCTTTGGGCGTGGAGCGACAATAACACCCTACCAGAGCCCCTGCGTCGCTTACTCGAAGACACAAACCATCCGCAATATGTCAAATTTCCCTACGATATTTCGTTCCCCGTCGAGCCTGGATTATTCTGCATGGCATGGCAAACCAAACAAGGGGAGATTTGGTATGAAGGTTTGTGTCGCGGCACGGTTTTTTTCCTTTGATGGCTCATGTTGGCCTCCAAGAGCTTTTCCTGGGACCCAAATACACGAAACTCGCAGAATACATCAAAGATCTGTCTAAAACTGGAGAGCATACTACACGGACCTGTTTTGGACCAAATGCCAGCTATTTTTCCATGTCGCCGTCCGGATTTTCGTGGCAAAACCTTCCCTCAGCTTGCGAGGCTGATATTATTGGGCGATTCAAAAGAGGGCAGCCCAGTTGTGTCGCTCTCGGAGTGAATGGGTCATTCGTTGTGCTTTATGCCGATGGCAACGTCTCGTTTGATGGCCTCAGCTACTATCCGGCTGTTGAGGGAATACTCCGCAACGCCGCGGACTGCGCAAGGAGGAAGGGGATTGCGGTGTGTTCGTTGCTGTCGGGCCATGATATTCTCTGACCAAGTTTCAGTATGTCGCTCTCAACCCCCACTCACCGAATCAATATTACGTCGCGTTTGGAGATGGGAGTGCGCTATGGAATCTCCCCAACACCTTCATCGAAGATGTCGTGACGGTCAGCCGAACGTTGCGGCCTCTTGTCACCTCGAGCACCAATATTCCTGGTGTCAGTGCAGCGAGTCTAGGCACTGTGGGCGTTGCAGGCACTGCTGGGTTAGTCACCAGTGGCGGAAGTCCTGGCGGGTCTTCGGGGTCTTCAGCTGCAAGTAGTGCGATTCATGGGCTGGGGAAGTTGTGGGATGCCTACCAAAACAGTCAGCAAAATAACGGTCCTAGCTCGCCTTACGCAACCCAAACTTCATTCTTCGACCCAACGAACGCGGGTGGATTCAACACTGGAGGATTTGATCCCAACTCGGTTGCTGCTGGGTTTGACCCAACTTCAGTAGCATCCGGATTTGATCCTAGCTCTCTTGTGTCCGCCCTTGACCCAAATTCACTCGTTGTCGGTGTCGTTGGCGCGATGTTGGGAAATTAGGGCAGGTTGACATCGATATTGCTGATCATGATTGTTGTAGGGTTTTCTGGAGAGTACAATAAAACTTGCTTATTATCCGGTGGTGCTTGGACCTTGTGCATGTGGGACAGAATGCTGAAGAATGCTGACCATCAAGTTTGTCGTAAGCGTCGATCAACCGCATTGTTGTGTCTGATTCCGTTTTCGGTTGAAGTGCCACCATTATTTGTCTAGCCGAGGCATATCGTGACCAAAGACCCACTTTGCTTTTGACCTCCACCATGCCCACTATCCGCCGTCGAGTTCAACACACCACCCCCGTCGCTCACAGCGCTCCTCGTCTTCCCGACGAGATGTTGCTTTACATATTTGACTATACCGCCCTCCATATTCCAGACGACGAATTCGCAGACATCTCCAGCACAACCCTTTGCTCCTTCATGAAATTTCATGAATCCATTTCGGCCTGTGTGGGCGTTTGCAAGACCTGGCGAAGGGTTGCACTCCCAATGCTCTATAACACGGTCGTGTTGCGGAGTCCGGCTCAAGCCCAAGTTCTTGCAGCGACACTGTCCAGAACGCCTGATTTCGGCCGGCTCATCAAGAAGCTGAGGGTCGAAGGGCACTTTGGAGAGCGGATGTTTGATATTCTCAAGGCCGCCTCCAACATAAACGACATCTTTATCACCCTCAGTGTTCACTATGCGGCCGAAGACCTCGATGGGCTTGTAAAGGGGCTACCGCTCATCAATCCACGGCGCCTCATCGTTCACCAAACTATCCCTCGAAAAATGAATTCCTTCGGAAAACAACTCAGAGATGCGATCACAGAAATATGCATTCCGGCTTGGACAAACTTGGTGAGTCATTATGTCTCCGAATCTGGTTCAGGCCTAACAGTGTGTCAGTCCGTGGTCAAGGTCACTGAGAACGGTTTTTGGACTAAACTTGGTGAATCTATCGCCGCCTCGTCCACTATAGTGACAGTCTGCATCTACGACGAAGTCGGTCAACTTGGCAGCGGTGGCATAGACGCTGGCTTGCCCAATTATTTCACCAAAATTACCGAGAGCAAAGCTCTCCGAGAGATTCGAATCGAACCACCCTTGTTCTCGACGGATCTTCCAGAGATCATCGAGAATAACCAATGTTTTGTTGAGCTTATGGAACTTGATGAGCGTCTCAAATGTCTGATAAAACTCGAAGCTGAGTCGTCGGGGGAAGCACCGAATTACTTCGTCTATCCCCCACAGCTGGCTGCCGATTCCGCAGCCGAGGACAAGATATGGGACTTGGTGCTGCAGTTTCATTATAGCTTTGCCTCTCGGCTTGGGAGGCATGCGTTGTCTCCGGTATTGGTTTGTCGACAATTTGGGGTAAGGAATCGCTTAGATCTTGCGTTGAATATTGACTCTGTTGTACTAGCGTTTGGGCCTCCCGCATCTTTACGAACGAGTATCCCTTTCAAGCAATAATTCGGCCGACTCCTTTGTCTCGCGACTCAATTTAAACCCCCTCCTTGGTCAACATGTTCGCCATTTCAGTATTTTTGCGCGGGGAGCAATTCGCTACCGCGAATGTGCTCATATGCTCCGCTCATTGACCTCGTTCAAGTGTATTCCAGATGGACGAACGACCAGTGTGGCTTTCTCGGGGACTGATTTGGAGCTCCTTGGTCGATTCACGGGTCCAACAGTGGAATCTCTTCAAGTTTCCGCTCATCCTCACCATGAGGCACCGAATGGACATGGGCCCAGTCCACTGTTATTCAATCCATTCCGAGCTCTAACATCACTGCACTGGGACTCACTCATGCGGTTCCAATTTCGACACTATGATGTGACCTTCAGAGATGCTTTGCCCGAACTGGTGAACCTTTCTCTGGGCAGATTTGACACTTCGTTTCTTTCAGCGCTCTCACGGATGAGGTGCGCTAGTTTTGTCCATCACCACAAGTCTTGGGTGCGCTAACGAACGATAGTCTACCGAAACTCAGATCAGTTAACTTTTATCCCGAGTTCCGGACCCAGGTTTCCGATACAAAGTTGGAAGGAGGCGGGGTTGAGTTTCTGCAAAGACATGGAGCAAAGTTACAAGAAGTCACAGCTGGCCCATCACAGCTAAAGGGAATCCGAGAGTCAGGCAACCCTTTTGACCCTGACACTCCGTCTCCTATCCTGGCCAACTGCATCACAGCGCTTGAGGTTTTAACCATCGTGTGCACCAACTATGTACGCTCGAATGATCCAGGAATACTCTCAGTTAACTCTTTTTACAGGGTCCATTTGCTCTCGGATACGATACTAGCCGTAGCTATCCAGCGCTGAGACGGGTAATTATCAAAACAAGGTATGTGCAAGCGCGTTTCACCCAATTTCAACGTCTCATTGCGTCTTCCAGTACTAATCTTCTAGAGAAAGAAGTACTCGCGCTCAACCGCCTGGTTGATCAATTGATTACGGTCCGGGAGGAGCACTTCCCCAATCTTGACTCTGAGATCGAGCTTTCTGGGTATCACTGGCCCAGTACACAGTGCGTTCTGTATTTCCTTATGACTTACTTGGGCTAAAAACGGGGCAGGCATGATATCGTGCGAAGTAAAATTGTCCTCAAGACGGAAGCTCTCCGTCTACACGGTCTGCATATCGTCGACACGACTGGTGTCCGATGGCGTTCCCGACTTCAGTTGCAGCCTGAACTGGATCTACTACCACCACCACCACCACCACCACCGCCACCGCCGCCACCGAAACCCACTCTGCTCGAGTCAGTGCCGCTACCTGATCCAATGAGAAGATTCATCCAGTCAATCGTTGTGAGGCTACGGAGTTGAACTCGTTGTTTCTTTGTTTTTTTGTCTTGTAGTTTGTTGTCACATGTGACATTTTTGCTGTCTCCCCTTCTTTGAAACAATGACCGTGCCGTGCCGTATTTGCCAGAATGTTTTTAAAGGAAACACGTTGCTGGTAAACTCACGACCAATCTTTCTCTTTCACGACTTGCTTCTTCTCAACTTTCACGCTCACTTACGCTCGTGCTGGCGCACTGACTTGTCATTGTAACGTCTAGCCCTTCCAATTGTACAAACTCGCAATGGTTCCTCCTCGTGCATGTTAGTCCTTAACTGAAAGCCTTCCTCACTCAACTGACCATCCATCTGTCAGATTCTTTCATATTCCTTAACATTTTGCGTACTCTAGGCATCATCGCGCTGCTGCTTGTTTTCTCGTTGCGTTCCTTTGCTGCATCTTCTAGCAGTCACTCACGACGGAACAGAAGTAACATCGTTATTCTCGTCCACGACGTTCAAGCCGTCAACCGCTTCCAGGCTGGCAGGACCCAGATCATCGATGCCACCAACGCGACCGCAGAGGAAATTCTGCATGCTGACTATATCTTGTACGTCGAAAGAGACCCCTTCATTCTTTATCTCCACTGAGTCTCTTTTTCAAGGGGCAGCACCGTACCCAACCAGGCTGCGGGCGTATTCTGGGCTGTTCTCAATCGTCTCTTAATCATCGCCCAAGTTATCATCCTGTTGCTGTCCGAAATTGGCTGGCCAGCCGTGTTCTTCCAGCGTTTTTTCCCCGTTCTGGGAAAGGATTTCGGTGTAGGAGCTTTGGGTCTCATCCAATGCTTGTGAGTAGGCCCGCAAATACGTCTGATCAGCTCATAGTATTTTTCCTTTGTTAGGCTGGGTGCCGCTATCCTGTCTCATCGCGTCGACCGATTCTCCCTTGTTGCTGCCTTTTTCATGTTCTCGATTGGATGCCTCAACATATTCGTTGGCCTGATCTTCCAAGAGTCCGCCAAAGCCAAACGCTCGTTTACCGAGTGGCGTGAACAATCGAAAGGCGCGCTACCCACCCATGTTGCAGGCGTCGACATCCGTCCAACGCCACCATCGATCGTTTCCAACGTGTCCAGCGCATTTTCTCGTGACGAAAAGGCACCTTCTTATACGGGCAACGAAGGCAAGATTGGGTTCGGATTCGGGGTCCAGGGAGAGAAGGCTGTAGGTCTACGAGGTGTGCCGTTTTCTCTTTTTCTCAGAATGTGTGGCTTAGTATTGGTCCCGCTTAGGTTATCTCATCTCCAAGCCGGTAGACTCTCTTCCCCGTTACACGCCAACTCGTTCGCAGGGTTCCTGAAGGTCTAACCATTCATCGGCCAATTTATTATATATCATACTAGTTCCTTGCCTTCCATTCTGCTAGTTCAATGCAATTACCGTCTGGAAGCCATAATGTACGGGTGCCTTGGATGTCGGCCTCTTCAACAAAGTTACGAATGTCCTTCACGTCCTGTTCCATCAGCGAGATGAATGCTGCATTCGAATTCTCCTCAACACGCGTTAAAGCGGTTGCGCCAGGAATCGGCACAACTGCATGCATGTTACCATGGTTTATGAGCTCTGTTTAGCTAGAGCATTACTCACGATGAGGATCTTGCGCAAGTAGCCAAGCCAGTGCGGTCTGGGCTGGTGTAGCGTCATATTTTTCTCCGAGGGTCTTGAAGGCGTCCGCCAACGCTAGATTCTTGGGGAAATTTTCTGCTGAAAAACGCGGGATACTTCGACGAAGGTCGTTCTCGCCAAAGTCAGCAGCACTGCGGAATCGGCCCGTAATCAGACCACGTCCGAGTGGGGAGTAGGCCACCACCGCAACTCCAAGCTCCTTTGCAGTGGAAAACAACCCATTTGTCTCGATCGTCCGCTCAAAAGGACTATATTCGAGTTGCACGGCGACCAGCTTTTCGCCAATTCCCGGGATAGCCTTTGCGCGACGGAGAGTAGTGGCAGAGCACTCGCTTAAGCCAAGCCATCGGATGGTGCCGCGGTCGATAAAGGGACGGAGAGTCTCCATGACTATTTCAATGGGAATAGAAGGATCTACTCTGTGCTGTTCGATATGAGTCTCGTTATGCACTGGAGAAGAAGAAAGCTCTTGCTTGATAATACAAGTCAATGTAGTCAGTCTGCAGATCTTTCAGAGACTTTTCAATGCATTTGACGATATAGTCCGGGTCGCTGCACGGACTGCGCTGGGCGTGAGTCTGAATGCCCTTCCGTAGGTCATTGGCACCGAATTTGGTCGCAAGAAATATTTCTTCGCGTCGGCCTGTGTTTGCAAACCATTCCCCAATGATTTTCTCCGCTGGTTCCCCAATTCAGCAAGATAGTTCGACAACAGCCTCGCTGCTTACAGTCGCGATAAAAGTCAGAAGTGTCCCAGAACGAAATTCCATGATTCGCGGCATAAGTCAACACCTGCGGTGCCTCTTTTTTATCCGCAGTCCCATAGAAATCGCCAAAGCCTTTTGAGAGTTAGAAGTTTACTTCTTCAGCAATCGATTGTTGCGTACCTCCAGCGCCGAATCCGATCGCGCTCACAGTGGGGCCGTCGGGCCCAAGTTTTCTCGATGGAAATGAGCTACGAGTTGCGGACATGGTGCTATGACTCGATAATGAGTCCGGCGTTTGATTTATATGTGTGCGCCGGATGTCAGTCGTGCGAAAACTGGCGTAGGCTTATTGAGAAGCCGAAAGCTGATAAATTATGACCGCGAGTTATCTTAAAGCCGTTGCGCTACTAACACGTGACCGCGTCTCATCGTGACACCCAACTGAAATTAGTTGCTTACCGTCGTTCTGCACTGCTGAAGCACCAGAGTCGCTTTTTTAGAGGGTCTTACGGGTCAGCACTCTGCGCTCGCCGCCGAGTCGTCGGTAGATCCATCGCACATGGTGACCAAATTCATGATTTGATTTCGTTTAGACATAGGTAATCGTGCTGGTGACCGTGCCCAGTCCCTCTGTTCCAACCTACTCACTAGTCAGCATCTCTTAAATACAGCTCACGGAAGGGAGACCTCAACCACGTCGCCATTGGTAAGCCAAACAGGGTTTGCTTTCCCCAATTGCACGCCACTTGGTGTGCCGGTGAATATGATGTCGCCGGGCCACAAGGTGATGCCCATCGAGAAGAAGCTGACGAGTTGCGCGACTCCGAAAATCATGTTTGCGGTCGTGTCGTTCTGCATCGTTACGCCATTGACTTTAGCCCATATGCTCAGAGCCTGGGGATCCGGAATGAGGCTCTTTGAGACGATTGCAGGTCCCCATGGCTGAGAAAGAACAGATGAGAATACCGGGATATAAAGCAGTTGTGACATACAGCCCAACCATCGGCGTCCTTGCCCATCGAGAATTGAGGCTTCGAGCGAGTTAGTGGTATTCTTCACCAATCGGTGTACTGTGTTACTTGCGGCTGCCCACCACGGTCAATCTGCCATCCACGATGGGACACGTCGTACCCAGCAGCGTACCCTGGTTAGCATCAGTCCGATTCTCGAGTTGGGTGTGTAAATTTTACCTAAAACATGGTCTAAAGCCTGGTCTTCGGTGATATTGAACGCCTTGGACTTGATGACAACTACGAGCTCGCTCTCTGACAAAAAACTATCAGCCCTTTTTACTACCATGCAGACATAATTGTTGACCGTAATCCATACTACTAACGAAAAAGGTCCTGCACAGTTAGTCAGGTGTGGATTTACTCAAGACAATCAAAAATAGTGACCCATTTGTTGTCTGGTTCTGGAGAGAGGGAATCAGTTATCAGTCTAGTGTCTCTGCTACTAACTTGGTATCCGGAGGTGACAGGCACAGGTCCATTGGGGGCCGCAAGGGATGTCCAAGGCTGCGACGTATTCAGTTTAGACTCGGGTCACTCCAACTACTCTTCTCACTTTGAAAAATCTACAAAAAAATCAGCGGACATAAAGAAGACGAGCCTGACTTGACAAGATCGGGAAATCCGGGATGGTGATGTTAGCTTCATTGGCATGGGACGCGTAGTTGAATCCGACACAACGAACCTGGTCGTTCGTTAAGCCCTCCCAGACATTTGCAGTACCGAAATTCTTACAGTGCGTGTCCTCTCGGGCGCCAGTGGCGACAGAAGAGTTCTAATCGTCTCAAAGGATATCAGATGATCTTGAATAATTGAAGTGCCTCCATACCTTGACTTGTTTGGTGATTTTAAAGTCGCCCAAGATGTCACCAGTGATCACATGCGCCTGCTTTGAGTGAGAGGTATCGGTGTCATCGTTGTTCAAGATGGCGTCGCCCGTGTACTCTTTGCCATCGGTGGCAATGAAACGAACAAATCTTTGAGCATGAGTGAGAATGGCGAACCCAAACAGTAAGGTGGCAGTGATTATACGCATGTTTTCCGGTTGGCAGTTTGCTGGACACTTCCAGCTTTTAAGCTGACCTTTTCTGTGGGAGTAATGAGCTCGTTCATAGTCCACATGACGCGTTGGAGTGGTCGTGAACGTTCTCTGGTCGAAGCCCGCGTCATTATTTTCGCCAGTCGGAACCCCGTTACGGAGTGCGGGTCCGTACACAGATCGGAAGCCACCAAACCGCAATCTCGGACAAGACTGCACACACGTGATCGTTCCCGATCGTGTCAGCTAGGTTCATCAAAGGAGACGAGAGCTGAGACGAGCAAGTGCTTGAATCCAATAGCCCCACTTGAGCTATCCCTGATAATGACGAGTCTGATGTTTCCCACTAAGCGTGTTTTTGGCGAATAGCGCTCGTTAAGAACACTTGCGATCTGGCTCCGAGTCACTAAAACAAGAGACAAATGATAGATTCTTCCAGTAACGCGAGAGACATTAGTTGTTGAGATGGCGAATCGTATTGGTGCATGTGCCAACGTTTTCCAGCCCGACTTCGACGACGTCACCATCGGTCAACCAAACAGGATTTTCTTTGCCGAGATTCACGCCTGAAAGCTTCAACGCGCTGCAGCAGTAGATAGATCAGGGATTGATACCTTTAGGCGTGCCTAGAGATGTATCGGTCAGCGTTCCACTCGATTAGAGAAAGAATGCCATACCAGTGAAGATGATGTCGCCAACTTGAAGTGTTATTCCCATTGAGAAGAATGATACGAGGTGTGCCACCCCAAAAATCATGTTTGCAGTGGTGTCATTCTGCATCGTAACTCCATTGACCTTGGTCCACAGGTTTAGCGATTGAGGATCCTTGATGAGATTGGTGGACACGATTGCAGGACCCCACGGTCTGTGCTAGGGGTGAATAAAGACTGCAGAAGGAAGAAATGTTGAGCTCACGCCCATGTGTCTGCGTCTTTACCCATCGAGAATTGTGGCTCAAGTAAGACGTCAACGCTGGCTCGATTTGTGGAATATTAGGTTACCTGAGGCAGGCCTCCACGTTCAACTTGCCAACCGCGATGGCTGACATCATTACCAACTAGAGCTTTATGAGCAAACGAAGGGAGACTTGAAAGAGCAAATAAACCTGTGTACCCCAAAACATAATCAAGAGCTTCGGCCTCCGTGATGTTGTATGCTTTCTTTTTCATCACAACAACAAGTTCAGTTTCTGGTTGGCTCGCATGAGCACGTGAGCCAAGAAGTTAATAGGTCACTACCATAGTCCTATAGAATGGAAATGAGCGACAAGTTGTGAGAACAACAATCCACTTGCCATACTCGATACGAAAAGGCTTCCGTTCGCGTTCGTCTGGTTTTGGTAACCCTTTGCCACCAAAATGTCATCGGAGGGCGTATTGAGAGCCGTGAAGGGCTGGTTTGGACCTCAGATGATGGCAAGTTTGGTATGGCAAGATATATACCTTGTAGAAGCTGGGTGGGAGGGTCAAGGACAAGTGCACACTCAAGCTCGTCAACTCACAGAATTGGCCATCCAGGTATTGTGGCGTTCGTTTCACTTGAAAGAGTTATGATGAGTTTTCGACCATAAACACCGGAGACCCACTTGATGTGAGCAACGTAATTCAACCCCACCATGCGAACCGACCGAATTCTTTCTGCAGGCAGTGGGCCAAGGAGTTTCTTGATTGCCTATAGCACGGTTTTAAAGTGTGTAGGCGACGGTGAGAAGTTTCCGAGACCTTTGTCTCCTTCGTGATTGTATACTCTCCAAGGATGTCTCCCTTGATGACATGGGCGCTGGTGCTTAGAGCCGCGTCGAAAGAGCCTTCAGGTAGAATAGCGTCGCCATAATACTCGTGCCCGTCTGTCGAGATGAATCGAACGAAACGTTGAGCTTTTGCTGTAGCTACAAACACCAGTAAGCAGGAGACAAGTCCAACGAGACGCATTGTGGGGCTATGAGAGTTGCGCTTCCGACTTCTCTTAAGTAGCATTCAATGCAGATGAGGCAGCGTGTGAGACATCTCGCGTGAATTGACCGCAAGAAGCGCTAGCTCAATAGGCAAATCGAGATGTGGTGTTGCAAGAGCACATGACGGTACTCACTGACGAAGATGTGGGATGAGAACCTCCAGAATCCACGAGTTCCCTGCTATTCCGTCTGTTCGTTTGTTTGTAATACTTTCCTCTTGGGCCTACGTTGTCGTTCGGCGGCGTAAGAGGAAAGGTACTTAGTAGAGTCTAGGAAGTCACCGCTATGATGATGCGATTAGTCAGGCGTGACAAACAGTCAAGTAAAAGGTAGGTCTCAAGCTTTGAGCAAATGTAACTTGGGAGAAAGGCCAACGCGGTGCGCGGCGGATACGAGTACTCAATTGCACAATACTATGAGTAAAGGGTGCGTACGAGCCCAACCCACACACCCAATCCTAGCTCGGCACAACAAAACAAAAGCAACTTGAAATGTCTGACGATGCGTCAGACTTGGACAGTCTCGACCACCACAACCCAAACACGTCCAAACTCAATCTTTGGCTCCACTACGGTCACCGCGACCAAATCATGATTCAGATTCGATATTTGAGGTTGTATCCTCAGGCTTGAACATTTTGTGGAGGAATGGTCGTCACGAATGTTTGCAGATGTCTACTAGGGTTAGGGTTGAGTGTATTGAAAGACTACAAATATGATCTAATGGAATTTGAAGACGAGGGGTTTCAAATTTGTTACATTTTAGCTACGGCATTACAATTTTAGAGCGTGACAAGAGAGCTGAAATTTGCGCTGGGAGGGGTGTGATGGACGATTACTAAAGTACTCGTAACTCGTAAACAGGACATGTAGATGGATTGTAATGGATTGTACAATTTATGAGGAGGGCTCTAAGGGCTACAATTGTTGATCGTCTAAGACCAAGTAAGTACGCTGAATTTATGTCCGTCTCTATATAGCTCTGTGGTCATCTATCGGTTTCCCACTCTGGGGACTGGCCGAGGGTCATTTGTTTTCGTCATTTGGCGAGATTCGATGATCGAGTGGACAAAAGGTCGTTGTGATCGTCATTGCCTACGGGGTGGAGGCATATTTGGAGCGTTGTCGTAAAACGTGACCGTATTTGAGGAGAAGCCAGTACACTGGCATGAGGACAAACGAGATGCCCGCGAGCAGAGCAGAGCCTGGACCGAGTCCCAGGTTCACGAAGAATGCACGACCAAACAGGCTGTTGGTGGAGTTAGTGGCGTTATAAAACTCGGTAATTTTGCAGACTGACGGGAAAACACTGGCAATTGTCGAACGGAAAAGGTCGTTTCCGGCGAGAACACTGGCTGCGTGGTCCTCGTATGCCGTAGAGACATACATCAGGATGCTCTGGAAGACGAGGAAAATGCCGGGTAGGTAGAGCGAGGCTCCGATCACAGGAACAATCCAATGCACCGTCGACCTGGACGCAAATCCGAAAATAAGGATGCTCGCAGGAATGAAGATGCTGGCCATCAATCCGATCTCAAGACGGATTTCTGGCGCGACTTTGAGGTTGGCAGCTTCAATGCGGTCGACACGTGGGGCAATGTGGTACTTTTGGTACAAGCAATAGACAGTGTACTGTGCTATTGTCAGTATTTGTCATATATGAGATGAGCTACCTGACTCACAGTCAAGGTTCCAGTGACAATGAATCCAAGGAAAGGCAAACTGCTCACACCCAAGTTGAAGTGATAGATGTCTGTGAAGACCAGGGGGAAGGCCTCAAACCAAAGGTAGAAAAGACCATCTATTTGCGGTCAGATAAGTCTAAAGAATAATGCCGAGCTACTCACAGACAAATCCCAGGTAGATGCTGGCAAAAGCAAGCGCGGGTTCTTTGGAAAGGATTACAGGACGGATGAGAGCTTCGTAAGCGATGTCGGTTGCCTTTTTTGATTCTTGTTCACGTTCTGCCGCAGTGCGGATATTGCGGTTACCAGTGAGTTTCCGAAGGCGTTCTGCACGTCGCAATAGAATGGTTGGTTCGTATGTCTCTGGCAAGAAGATGGACAAGAAGACAACCGCAAACGAGGTGATCCAGATGAGTTCCATCATTGGCCATCTCCAAGACTTGGCTTGTGCCGCAAAGCCACCAATGACGGGACCGGTGATTGGTCCAGCGACGGCACCAAGAGCCCAAACACCCAGAACGTAGGCCAATTGGCTACCGGGAAATATGTCTGCCATAGAGGCGCCCTAAGACACGATTAGCTCGCGAATATTGACCATGATTAAAAACATACTCCGGTCGCCAGTGCTGGACTACCAAAGAAACCGGTGAAAAACCGCATAGCGAGGACGGTGTTCATGTTGGTGGCCTTGACTATCGGGATCTGAAAGATGACGAAGAGAAGGAGACCCGCCATATAGACAGGGTTTCTTCCCAAGAGCGGAAGTTCTTGTAACGGCGACAAAAACATGGGTCCAAGTCCGTAACCAACAACATAGAGGGTGAGCTAGTTCAACTGATGAGCCCGTGGTAATGATGTCGGAGAATGGATATCTTACCCCCAATGTAGCTTTTGTCAGCGAGACGTTGTATTCGACCATTAACCCGGGGATAGACGAAGTATAGATAGCGGAGCCGATGTAAATACTGAATGTGAGGAAGCTTATGCAGAACGCGGTGAAAGCGCGTTTCTTGAACGTCCAGTTCCTGGCAAAACATGCGTTAGATGCGAGGACAGAATCAAGTCATAAAACATAAGTACCTAGGATTTTCAGGGTCTGAATCGCCTTCCCAGTCGACCAGATACGGATCTGGAATGGTCTTTTCGTCGATGATATTCTTCTCCAGATCCTCTACAAGGGTCGATTCTCGCTTCAGGTGCGTATTGGGTGTTTTCGGATCGCAAAGGGTCGCGGCATCTGAAGCGACTGGGGTGCCGTTCAAGGAATCGGAGAGTTGAGCTGGGAGGAGATAGTGTTTAGGTACTACATATCCTCGTCGTTGCTCGGGGTAGGGAAGCAAGCGACCGTTGGAGACATAATTGACTATTTGACCGACGGTCGAGTCGCGGAAAAGGTCGGCAACCATGCTGAGACTAGAGGAAGGAAGGGTTGAACTGCCGGGCAAAGGGCTACAGTTCGACAGTCTTTATAGCGCGAGGTCGGATGGATAATAATGATTCGCTGAATCATGGTTAGCTTTGTGAGCCAAGTTCGCAAATCCAAAAAGAGTGACAGTCCGATCAAAATGCTTATCCGGCTTAGATGTCGGCTTAGATGTGGGTCTCTTCCTTACAAATTACTGACTCGACGGCGGGCAGCCACGGGGCTGTTCAGTCAGGAAGTACTTTCCAATGTTATGCGACACTACTCACAACGTAAGAGCTTCGAATACTCAAATGGCGCGAGTGAAGCCTCCGATAACAACGCTGACTCGGGATCAACTTTCATGTCTTGTCTGAGGCGGCTGGTAGTATAGTGATGCTGGTGTTACAGTACAAGTGGTACAGAATAAAAGATACGGAAAGTGAATCTAAGCCTCCTGTGAGGCCTTGCCCTTCTTGCCCGTACTCGTTGGTAAGAGAGCAGCGTCTAGGACGGAAAGTAAGGGAACTAGACATAAAACGCAGAGGAGATTACACACCGATGTGGGGTACGACACCACCTTGCGAGATGACGACCGAGCCAAGCAGTTTGCCCAACTCCTCATCGTTGCGGATGGCGAGTTGCAGATGACGGGGAACAATACGATGTTTCTTGTTGTCGCGGGCCGCATTCCCAGCAAGCTCGAGAATCTCGGCTGCTAGGTATTCAAGAACAGCAGCAAGGTAGACTGGGGAGGTGGCATTTGAATATGGGAAGAAAGAACTGAGCGCTTGCACACACCTGGTGCCCCAGCGCCAACACGCTGAGCGTAATTGCCCTTCTTCAGGAGACGGTGGATACGACCGACTGGGAATTGGAGACCGGCTTTCGATGAACGGGACTGGGCTTTTCCATCGCCTCCGCCGCCTGCTGCTTTTCCCGACTTGGATTTGCCGCTAACTTTGCCCGACATTGTGTTGTGATTGGGAGGGTGGTGGTGGTTGGTGGTGGAGTCGAAAAGAGTTGAGGGAGTGTGACCGTGTTGGCGGACCTTTATATCTGTTCGGTGTTGATGGAATGATCCACAAGAACGCGACGCGTTTGTTGACAGAACCAAACAAGACCATCGTCACGCGTTGGTATAAGAAGCCGCAACACGCTGATGGCGGGCTTTCAACACTTTTTGCACTCGACCTCCATCATCGTCACTCATGGCACCTAAACCCGCATCGACCGCTGGCAAAGCCCCGGCTTCCACTGCCTCCAAGGCCCCCGCCACTGCTTCGAAAGCGCCTTCAAAGACAACGGAGAAGAAGGCTGGCAAGAAGACTGCGAGGGCAGCCGCGCCTGCTGATGGCGAGAAGAAGAAACGCAAGAAGACTCGTAAAGAGACTTACTCTTCGTACATCTACAAGGGTGCGTTTGGCATGCAACTCCACACTCGTTTTCTGACCTGCGACCCAGTCCTCAAGCAGGTCCACCCCGACACGGGTATCTCGAACAAGGCCATGGCCATCCTGAACTCGTTTGTCAACGACATCTTTGAACGGATTGCCACCGAGGCTTCCAGTGCGTTTCCTGTGTTTTCTTCCGTCCCCTGTTTTGACTCCAATTGGTAGAACTCGCGCAATATTCGAAAAAGTCGACAATCTCTTCGCGAGAAATCCAAACTTCCGTCCGCCTCATTCTGCCTGGTGAACTTGCTAAGCACGCTATAAGCGAGGGTGTACGTCCTCCGCTTCCTCTCACTTTCGCTTGACCGACGCTATTCTCTAGACCAAATCAGTGACCAAGTTCTCCGCCTCGCAGCCGTCAAAGTAGACGATGGGCTTGCTTGTATTTCGTATCTATCTCTTTGCATAATTTGTGTATTCTATCGGCATGTACTTTTGGTATCATGAATCGACTTTAGGTCGTTCTCATTTTCCGCTTCTAGCAGTTCTTACCTGAATTGATGAGACAAAAAACCGTGTGTGCGTTTGTGGAAAAAGAATGCACTGGACAGTGGAGGGTCACCCTTTTGGGCAACCGGAAGACATTGGGATTACAGTCACCTTAGACTGACGCTGTATTGCGGTAGATATACCGCAGCGGTCAGAGCGTAGTGGGCCATTCTACCTACTCACAAGCGTCTATTCTAGCTTGTGTCAGAGCATTCAACTACTACTAATAGATATTGTTGTTTTGCTCTGAGCACTGTGGAGACTTGTTCAATCAGCGGATCAATGTGGGTCGGGCCGACTATCCGGGGCGTTCACGACTATACTAGTACTCAAAAATGAGCAGTACTTTGGGGGGCGCAAAGCAAAGAGCAGCAAAAGACTGACAAGAGTGGGATTCGAACCCACGCCACATTCGTGAGTGGGAAGCATACTCCATGAAGGAGCAAGCACAATGCTTGAATCCACCGCCTTAACCGCTCGGCCATCTTGCGCCGACATCTTGGAAGCCAGAGAGGACATCCCCACGACCCCTGGGGCAAAAGAATCGTCGAAAAATATAGAGCCGTTGTCGAGATGAGTCGCCAACAAGTTTTTGATGGTGTGTGATAGATGTGTGACGTAGATCACATGGCTACAGAGGACAGTAGTCTATCTCACATGGTGTACGCATCATGGAGGACGCAGTGCACCAGGACGACGGCCGCGCGCGTGCCGGGGATGGTGACGGGGCTGACCAAAGGAATCCATTGACAACCCTCCAGCAGTAATGCCACAGAGCATACAATGGTAAAAGGATTTACAGCGGACATTAGATAGAACAGACTTGAGGTCACACTCGTGACCCAGATTAAGTAATTCAAAGCATTGCAGGCGATTAGGTAAGCTGAGCCCGCCGCTGATCACGCTCGCTCATGCACCACTGCACGGCCTCCCTCGGCCCTCCGTCATGCGTCGGCCGTCGTGGTCGGCGTTCCATATACCCAAGGATGTCGTTCGTTCTGACTTGCTGGGCCGCCGGTTGTGGCTCGCCGGGGCCACTGGATCACTGCCGCAGAGCAGGCCCCGGGCCAACTTCGCGCCTGGGCCCGCACACTGCCATCCTCGCGGCTTCGTTGATCCCATCCGGGTGGTCGCCAACGGCGCGCGAACAGCTGCGCGGCTCAGGTCCAAAATTGCACGTGAGTCACATGCCAAGTTTGTTGTCCACCTTCGACCATACCCCGGCCATACTGCTGCCCCGCCAAGAGGATTCAATTTTTCTTGAAGATGAATGGACCGAACGACCATCGTCTTCGGGTGGTTCCCACGCAGGGTTATTCCTCGCGAGTCCAGCCGCTGATTCAATTCCAGGTCATGGAGCCCTTGCCAGGTCCGGACGTCCGGACCCTCCAGTCTGCATCTAGCGACCCAACGAAGCACGAACGACGTCTCGGAAGAGTCGTCTCTGAACGCTGAAGAGCAGTTTGGCCCCGCGCCGTTGCGTTGGACCCCTCCAGTTTGGCCAATAATGGCAACATGGTTAGTGTCGGCATTAGCATTCAGATGCTTCGCTGATGCTGAGTCTAGGAAATGCTGGTCCTAGCAATGGCTCATCCTTTTGAGCGGGTACTTTCTAATTTCTCCAACGCGATCGAGCGTTGCCTCAAGATGATCCGAGTCGTGGGTTGACATCAATCTGCCCGTCCCTTCGTCTTGGCCACACTCCCCAAAACAACGATAACCCTCATCCTGCGGTGCTCGTCGTTGTCGGCGGCATCAAGCTCACTCTGTGCCGACTACTATGGCGACCAACGTCTCCCGCAACCTCCAGGCTCCTGCGCGAGCTCTCGCACCGCGGGCCCTGCGGAATGCACAACCCTATACAAGAACCTCGGGCAGCGGGCACGCTGACAACAATGCGGGCAAGCGCGAGGGACGACCAGTACACGGGCGAGCGAGGGATGAGGCGGGTCGGCGGTGACTTTAACCCAAGGTCAGTTTTGTCAGACGAGCAGCGTGACGTTGAACTGACCTTTTTTCAGCTTCTCCCACAACCTCCTCCCGCGAGCTCTCACGCCCGCGGCGCCCGCGAATACACGACTTTGGGTTAGCAGGCACGCTGACAACAACAACTATGCGGGCGATGAGGCGGGTTGGCGCTAACGTTGACCACTGGAACAAGGTTAGCTTTGTCAAAGGAGCAACGTGACGGTGAGCTGACCTCGTTTTAGCGTATCCTGCAACCTCCAGGAACCCACCGAATACATGACTTTGTCGAAAACCTTGGTCAGCCAGCACGCTGACAACGATAATACTTTATGCGGGCAAGCACGAGGGATGGGGCGGGTGGGCGCTGACTTTCACCATTGGAACAAGGTCAGCTTTATCAGAAGAGCAGCGTGACGTTAAACTGACCTCGTTTCATGATATCGAAGACCATAACGAGTGGTACTCGACCGCAACAGCTTCCCCATCCCATCTCATCCCCTCTCCCTTCCCCTTCCTCCTTCTCTGCCGCTCAAGTGGGTGCTTTTCCTCTTCCGGCTCGGTTGATGAACATTCTGCAGGTCTGCCGTGTCCCGCACCAATTCGACGAAACCGCGCCACCGATAGCGTTCACATCGCATGACTATGCAGAGCTTTATGCAAGTCCCCATATCGAACACATCAGGCGATCTTCCTCACCAGAGCCTTTTGTTTGTGACCTGCCGATCCTGGACAGCTTTCTTCGCTCACCCAACTGCCCACAAACAACGGACGGTTACTTGGCCCCAAACACGCCTTTGCTTCAAGTTCACGTGTCAACCTTTAATAACCTCACTTTCCTCTGTAGCCTGTCTTCGCCGAGGCGGACTCCGAGGCCATGAACCAAGCTGGGTTCAATTAGAAACTGAAGAAGAGCAACCATATGCTCTGATTTCATAACCGTAACGCGACCCCACCACCACCACCACCACCACCACCGCCGCCACCACCTCCCCTGCCGAAACCCACCACACATAAGCCGGTGTCAAGCCTGAAAAGTGTTTGGCATAAAGAGGAAAAACATAATCAGTTGTAATTTCCTTTCAAAAGAAAAAGA